ATTAAAGGAATTGGAGAGAGAGAGAGTGAGAGAGAGAGAGAGAGAGAGAGAGAGCCTGAATGTTATTAGTTTTTCAAAGATGTTATTTAATTAAATTTCGGACAAAAATTAATTAAACGAAATGTTTTTGAAAACAACATTAAAACCAAAAGAAAACTTTTGCTAATTATATTTTCCATCTTTTATTAATAATATTAAAAGTTTATATTCTCATCAGTGAATTACTGGTCTTTTACAGTCATTTATATCATTAGGTATGACATGAATGGCAAGAATTTCTTGGACATCGTATTATCAATCAGTTTATAGTGGATTTTGTCGTAGATTATGTTGAAAATGTTGCTTTAAGTTACTGTATATGTGGTATTGATTTAGTACACTATCGAGCAAATAGGCACTCAATTAAAGGGCGTATTTTAATTGTAAATTTATGAATCAAATATTGAGTTAACATTAAATTAAATTATTTTATAACACAAAGAATTGGTTACATTAAAGTATATCCGGTTTTATTGAATGCAATCTTAAGTATAAAAAACATTTTTAAGTATTTCATATAATATCGAGCAAAGAGTTTCAAAAAACAATTTAAATTAATAATAAAAATTTATTATAATTGTAATCAATATTATAAAAACACAAAACATTTCAATAATTATTGAGTTGTTTTTGAAATGCTTTACACATTTCATAATAAATAAATAGAAAAATTTTATTAAATAATGTAATTAATAGAAAAATTGTTTAGTAAATGTATGAATAGATAATGAAATTATTTTCAGTCAAATGGAAATCAATAGATAAGAGTTGAAGTGATTTTTCGTTAGTATCAATAGGTTTTACATCAATGGTAGAGATGGCACAAACATATAGACAAATATAAAAACCCTGTATTTGTTCACGAGTTCGCTGTTTATAGTACTGTCTATGCTATCAATCAATTCAAACCAATTCAATACATATTACGGAAAGACATTTAGAGAGATATTGAATGAAAACAATCATTAAAATACAATACAAAAAACCATTTTAAGCCTAAACTGTAAAAAACGAAATGTCTATCAATCAATTCAAACCAATTCAATACATATTACGGAAAGACATTTAGAGAGATATTGAATGAAAACAATCATTAAAATACAATACAAAAAACCGTTTTAAGCCTAAACTGTAAAAAACGAAATGCTTTTTCCTCGCAAAACCTAAATTCTTCGTCAAAATGTCTTCACTTCCGGAAAAATTGCTCTAAATTTGATGGTATGGGAGGTATGGCTGTATAGATGAGACATTAGCTCTCAATACAGTTAATCGCAATCGTCGTCCTCTTCGTCGTTGTCTATAGCGCTCTCTCTGATCGACGATCGCGTGGTTATTATGTTTGGTATTAGACTCTCGTTCAGCACTCCGTGTCTAACAATTCAATGAATAAAATACAAATTTAATCATAAAATAATTGCGAATAAAAACTACACGATTATAAACGTCGCGCAAAGACTACTCACTCGACCAGAAATTTCTCGATGTCTGCGGCGAAGAAGCGGTCGCTTAAGTCGTCCTCATCGGTGGTCTGGTTCTCCTTTTTGGCCAACTCTTCGTCCAAATGCGAGCGACAACTGAGCGACAGTTTGGACATCAGTTCCAACTTCTGTCTCTCATCGGCGTCTCGTTTCTCGCTCTCAAACTGTTTATATCTTTGCCAGTCTTTGATCACACCTTTTGGTCCCGTCTATCGGTTGTTTCGCCGCCGGAAGTGACAAATAAATGGACAAATCAGTGGACTATTCAGTGACACAACAAAACCCTAAGACATACGTTGCATGAGTTGCCGTCCCATCGGTTCCAGCGCTGATCACCGCCACCGCCGACGGGCGGCACGTCGTTGGAGTTGGTCTTGTCTTCGGAGCACTTCTTGCGGCAGTCGTTGTTGTCGTCCTCGTTATCGTTGTCCTCCTCTTCACTACTACTGCAATAGTAATGCAATTTCTCGCCCAATATCTTGTCCTCCAATGTACTCATCGTTTTGGATATCACCACCAATTGATCCCAAAGACTATTATTACTAATCACTAACTATTATTGCGGTCACTATAATCACCGATCGTTTAAATTATACACAAAATTAACACAAATTATTATTTTTTGAGACAATTTTTATTTAAAGTCAGCCAAAAATCACTACATATTGACTAAACATTGTATTTATTAATGCATTAAACGTTATAATTATTATTACAATTGATATATAAGTGAATATAAAAATTAATGTTAATTAAAATGATTACAAATAATTGATTGAATGAATTGAAAGCATTGTTTGCAACACTTGTTTACAAAACATATAAACCGATTGACAATCGATTCAATAGTGAATTGCATTCACACGCCTATAGATGGCGTCAAAGCACTACTAAACCCATGCATTCATTTCACACCTGCATTGAAATCAATGACAACTTATCAATCAAAATGTCTTTTTCTCACTAAAACACTTGTTATAGAAATTACACAAAAATTAATTAAATTAATCACAAAATTAAAATTAATTCAAATTTAGTGCTTAATTACACACAAAAGACATTGAAATCAAATCAAATAAATTAAAAAATGAAAACAAAAGTTTTTATATTATTCAGTAAATCATAATTGAAAGTATAATAATTCAATAGTCATTATAATCGATACAAATATTAATTTTATATTAAATTGATTTTAAAAAAGAAAAACAAAATTAAATTAAAATATTAAAAAATACATATTAAATTAAAATATAATTTTTTTGGTTGTTTTTTATATTGAAATTACAATACATTTCTCTCTGTTATCGTTAGGAGAAAGTATTTTCCACTTAATTATTAAAATATTTAATTATTATTATTATTAAATCAATGAATTTATGATAAGAAAACAGAAGTATTATTATATCTAATATACTCTCGGCTTCTGAGCCCAAAGAATTGCATTCGTATTGAAAAACCTTATCTAACGTTATAAGTGGTAATAATTGCCAACAATTTATATCCTGATTAAACATATAGATTAGTTGCTCTATATTTGGGTACAAAATCCATATATAATTATAAAAATTCAATTCATAATTCTAATAATAAGTTATAATTCAAACTAAATTAAACATTAGATTATAGGCGACATCAATAGGTCCGCAATTCTTATAGGGCTTTACAATCGATACAAACAATAGTATATCTGAAAAAATAGATGTTTTTTATATAATTTTACATAAATTAATCATTTTTTTGTTGTCTTTTGTCATAGAGTTTAACCACAAAAACGCATTCAAAGGATGTGTTGAAATACAGTTTTATTGTCTTACACTTTACACTTGGCATTCAAAGTCATACCTTATTATTTGAGATGATATTTCGAGGCATGAGGGCCACCCCTCTGAAAATAAGTACAATACTCTCCCTTTATATACATATATAATATGGGATTTATGTGTTGAGAAGGGGTGGGGGCGTTGAGAGCCCACTTTTTTTGTATTTTGCATTTATTTTAATACCAATTAGTAGTACACCAATTGGTTTTCAAATATCCAGTTTTCCGGTCCATTGGTTTCGCCGTTCATTTGCCCTTTCGGTGCTTCTTCGACGCGTCGGAGCACTTGTGGCACAACTCGAGCGATACCTTATTGTTGTTCATATGCAGACATATGCCCGCAGTGTCCACCACTTTAGCGGCGATTCGGCTCGACTTGCGTTGATTCTTGTCGTCAACCAATGCCGCCATCTTAGCGCTGGAGCTGTCGGTGCCGTTAGTGGCGGCCACGAAATGGGTGCCAATCAGCTCAACGCTCGGGGCGTTTGTGATGTGTTTGATAAACGCGGCGATGGGAGTGCTGTTGGCTATAATGGCGCGCAGGTATTCATTCTCGGCGTTGGACTCCTTCAGCTCGCGGCACATCTTCTCGTTGTCCGCCTTCAGAGCCTTATTGTCGGTGACGGCGGCGTTCAGCCGACGCTTCATGTCCTCCGACTCGCGCTTCTTCTTCTCGCGGTTCTCTCGCGCGGCGATTGCGTTACGAGACATACATTTGTCGCCCCCTTTGGACGGCTTGCGGCCAACCTTTGCCTTACCCTTCGCCGGCGCCACCGACTCATCGCCGCTGCTGTTATCGTCGTCTTCTTCGTCGACGTACGGGCTCTCGGGATAAGAGATGTGACGCTTACGGCTGACGCGATCGCGACTGGACTCGTAGTCCATCGACTCCTGTTTGATGACAATCGCCTGACGCCCGGCGGCGGTGGCAGTGAACGGAGCGGTGACGGCAGCGACGACTGGGGCGGCAATGGGTGTACTGTTGGTGTCAACAACAGTGACCTCATTATCGCTGAAGATGTTGTTAAAGTCGATCTCCGATGGGTTGTTGTTGCCATCGGTGGCGGCCATTGTGTTGGTGTCATAATTGAAGAGATCTTCGGCGTCGATGCCCTGGAGGTCATCCATGGGCGCCATGAATGGCGTCGGGGCGTTGGCGTAGGCCAAGTCGTCCAACTCTTCGTACGCCATTGTCCGCAGATCTCCACCGAAGAGCTCTGAGTCCAGACATTCCATCAATGGATCAAATAGACTGAAGTATTGATCGATATTAGGGGCTGTCGTTGTGGTTGTGTTAGCCGTACTCTTGTGGCCCTCAATGGCTCCTGTATTGCGGTATATGTTGTCTGAAGTGGTAGTCTTCACGACTACTCTCTGCGTGTCGTACGAGTGGTCCGATTCAATGACTCGACGACTGATCAGCTCCTGATGTAGCGATTGGTCCGGCAGTGATGTGTCTTCGGATGGTGTGGTTGTGTCACTGCAATCACTTCCGTCGCTGTCGTAATGATTAACAAAATTTGATAACATTTTCTCTCATATAAAACACAGCAATAAGTGTACAGAAAAATGGCTTAAAATCTCTACAATTTATATATAGTTTTCAATAATGACTTCAAAAGCAAATTAAACTCAAATTTATGTCAATTTTTATATATATTTCTTTCTATCGATTAAAACAGCGATTTCTCAGACAATTAAACACTGAATTCAGTTTCAAATGTAAATCAAATTTACCTTTAATTTGGATATTAATCCAAAACAACACAAAACACAGCGAAATAAACGCCCAAACAATACAACACTTGATTTGATTTGGACAGTTGGGGTCAATGCGAGGCCCGAGAATCCACGTGCCGTTCTCAAAGTGACCCTCACCTGGTTTGGCACATTCACTCACACCAATCCATACTATTGTTAATACTATCGCACATAATAATTGGTGAGACATTTTGCAATTAATTAGCAATTTTTATAAATTTTAATATAATCTGATCTTTTACTTGAATTGTCTTTCACTAAATGCAATGTCTTTTATATTATTATTTCAAAAAGTTTTTTTAGTAAACGCATAGGTTTTATATATCTTTGTAAATGCAAAATAATTTACATTTTGAATTGTACTTAGAGTTTTGAATTACAAATCACTGGAAAAATGTTAATTAATACTTAATATAAAATTTAATGAAAATAATACTTTTGTTGTATTGTATTATGAGATGTTATTTTACATAAAAAAAAGTTATTAATTTTAAAGTTATAATAACTTATAATTAATGCAATTAGAAAATCAAAAACAAGTGCAGAATATTCTTTAAAAACATTGCTATCATTGGTTTGATTTGAGTGCAAGACATCATTGCAGTCGTGTATCTGTAATAGTATTACAGTAATACCAACAAAACTTACTTACGATAACAATAACCAAGATTACTGTCTAATTTCTCTGTTGTTTAATCACCAATTGATTCACTTATGTAATCAACAATGAGTTTGCATTTCAACACAATTTTTTGTAATTTAAAAATATAAAACTTTTTCATTCGTTTTTATAAACAAAATATCTATAAATCAAAAATATATCAAAATTCAGACCAAATACAGTATAAGAGTATAAGTTATTATACTGTATAACAGTAATACTGACTTGTGAGATATGTTGAGGTGTCCTTGCTCAAAAGTGCTTGCTCATTACTTATGACTAAATTAACTGTATTCTCAGACAACAGTCATTGAATGAACTTTTGAGCACATGTTTTGTGATTTGCTTTCAATTTAATCAATGAATTGATTTCTAAATTGTTTTTTATTTGAATTAAACTTCAAATCAATTAATGATTGCTTTTATTTATACTTTGTTTGAAATCAATGTTTCATTTATTACACAATTGTTAACACATTTTGCTTTTGAAGTAAGTTTTGAATTAATTTTAACATAATTTTTACGAAACTAACGTTTGCTTTAAATTAATTATAGAAATAGTTTATTAATTGCAATCAAAATATGAAACAATGTCTGCAAAGAAACGAAGATTTGATCTCAAGAGTGACACAAACAGAAGAGAAAGTAATTCAGCGATGAATTCATTGAAAGTCTATCCGAAAGAGAGTTTAGACAGATTTGGTGATGATTTGTGTCAACACTTATTGTCTTATCTCTCATTCAAAGACCGATTCAGATATGAATGTCTGTCCAAACAATGGCAGCGATTGGTATTCACGACACAAACGGATCTCATATTTAATGACAATTTTAAGCATAAAATAAGTGAAGAAATATTTGAATTAATTGTGAAAAAGTGTGAAAACATCACAAAAATTGGATTCAATAATAAAGATGACAACAACCCGTTAAATGAGTCGAAGTATAACTCGATTATAAAACATTGCAATCATTTGAATGCCATTGAAGTTAATATCGAGTCAATAGAAAATGTGGACAATTTTGATGAGTTTTTCATAAAGTTTGGCAAACAATTGAAATCAATTGATTTCGACCCAAGTATTGATAATTTGCAACAAAACATGAAATTATGTCACAATTTAAGAGATATTCGTTTTGATTATTACGGACAAGATTTAAATGTGGATTTTAGTAGTGATAATGGAAATGAAATTTTGTTTAAAAAATTAGAGAGAATTGAATTTTTCTTTACCGATGAGTGCTTTAATATTATTCATTATTTGGTGAAAAACCATAAAAATAATTTGAAATCAATTCATGTGATTATTGACACAGAAGACGATAAATTAGTTAAAATACTAATGAATGGTTTGTCGCAAATGAAGGCATTAATTGAGTTGAAAATAGATTTATTTATAGACTTAGAGAGCGATTACTTGGCCGTAGAGACGGTGTTTGCGAGTCATTTGAAACAAATTGCTATCAATTGTCTGAAACTCAAGAAATTGTCACTTTATTTGGTGACAGAATCGGCTGATAATGATTTTGAAGACATATTTGAATCAATCAATTATTTCAAACAATTAAAACGCCTAGAAATTAGTGTTTACCCCTTTTCAGAGTTACCACTTTCCGGTCTTGAACTCGGGAATTGCAAATCATTAACACATTTGTCACTCAATGGATCCGATCATTGCATGTTTTATTACAATATCGATCAGTATTTCCCGAAACTTGAATCCATTGATTGCTATGATATAACGGATTATATATTGGATTCATTGTCTAAATTATCAAAACTGCGAACCATTAAAGTCTTGGGCGAAAACAAATTAACACAAACTTCTCTCAACCAATTCCAACACAAATACCCGAAAATCTCCTTAATTTTTAACTGAAAATTGTATTTAAATACTTAATTCATTTCTCAATGTTTTGATAATTTATATTTAATGCCAACAAATGTATTGAATGAATACTAAATGAATCAAAATATAATGATTACTAAAAACTCAATACAAGTGTTGGTATTAATAGTGCTTACAATTAGTGCCGATCTCTCACTCGACACCACTTTTTCCACTAATTATTTCTCAATTCATTTTTGTAATACTTTTTCTAAACATAATTTTGATTATTATATAACTTTTCATTTGTTTCTATTTTGTATTAATTTCTAAAATTTTAATAATTCTGTATAACATTTATAAACAAGTAATTAATATTCACATGATTTTGTGATAAATAAACTAATTATAAGCATATTTATAATACAATTTAAATAATGCCATAATTTAGTTAATAATAGTAAATCATTACATAAATTGTCATAAATATTGTGTGAAATACATGTCTATTGAATAAATCATTAAAAATCAAATGTAATTTACGCTAATTATGTGTGATTGTGCATTTCGCTATGTGGCCTTGGTTAGTTCACAATCTAGGTGCATTGCACTCGCATTCATTAGATATTGGGTGAGTGCAGTACAGGTAAAAGTATGTCAATCAATAACGTTCATCATAAACATCATTGATTATAGTGAATAAGCTGTGTTTCTATGAGTCATTTCATCACTTTTAATATTTTGGTGAAACACAAATACCATACAAAACCATTCATAGACAACATTACGTTAGCTGTCAAACAAATGACACGTATTTCAGTATTAAATTGATTCGGATATACGTGTCATCAAATTTTCAACGGGGTTTATAGCGTAAAACACGGGTATAAATGGGGGGCTAGTAGTGGGCTAAGTGGGGGTGAGGTGTGCGTACGTCAGGCGGGATAATACAATGTCAACCTTTTTAACCATAATGTGTTAGCACTGGAAACACATAGAAATGCATTGCATTAAAAGGGACTAAATATACGGCAATTTTTCAATGACTGACTGCACTATAAGTAGGGGTCTATGTTTTGATGGCTATGCGCGAGCAATAGGTATGACAAAACAATCAGCCAATAGGCAAATAGCATGATATCATTGCATTGCACAGCATTGACCAATCAGTGACTGACACCGCTTTGTATACATGAAAAACGTGAACAAAACAAAGCAAATGCAAACCATTGACTCGCTATGGAGTTCAATGGGTTTGGGGGGCTTTCGGGGGGCGAATACCGGGCGGTTATGTGGCGGGTATTTATGGTACGGCCCGACATATGGCGGCCCAAAGTCTATATAAAGGCTGAAGTTTTCGCACAAAACGTTTAGATTTCGTTTTGACAGTGAATTGAGAAGTGGTTTAAGTCTTACTTACCATTCATTTTGAAGTGAGTGTTAAGTAATAGTGAATCAAATCAAGTGTTGTATTGTTTGGGCGTTTATTTCGCTGTGTTTTGTGTTGTTTTGGATTAATATCCAAATTAAAGGTAAATTTGATTTACATTTGAAACTGAATTCAGTGTTTAATTGTCTGA